TCGCCCGCCTCGGTGTCTATGCAAGGCCGCTTCGCCATTGCGGTATTACTGTCCCCCTCCCCCAGAAGCCCCCGCCTCGTTCCCTGTGAACCCTGGTAATCCTAATAAAATTCTGAGCAAATTCAAAGTGCTGCTTCGAGTCTTTTGTTCGCCCGGTGTGCCGTCCCCAGCAGCCAGTGTTCCTTGCTGCAGATCCGCAGGTAGCCGCCTTGTCTACGCACTGGCCTGCAAAATGCTAGCTGTGGGGAGTTGGGGTTGGCTGGCTGGGGCTGGGCCGCAGAGGTGTGGCGTCAGGCCAATGCGGACCATCCTGGCCAATGGCAGGGCGAGGCTGAAAGCCCCTCCCTCTCCCGGCGGCTGCAGTAGACTCTGCCAGGTAGCAAACAGCTTCCAACCCCTCCCCTTCTTGCGCTCGGGCAAGCGCAGAGAAGCGCCCTAGGACATTCATTTATTGTGATTCATCTTTTTATTCATCGTGCAGCAAACCTTTTTTTGGGCCCAGTGTGAGCTGGGTGTGGGGGAAGCCAGAGGGATCCATTTTTTTCATTCACATGTAGTAGGAAAAAAATAAACGATATCGGTTTGGAGAGCTCTCTCATCTTAGGGAGGGGGCGCAGGGTCCCTGGAGCTGGGCTTGGGAGAAAAGGCAAGAAAGGATGGCTCAGGCGGAGGAGTTTGCACAGAGATAAGGAAAAGGAAAAGGAAAAGGGAAATTACTATGTAGCTGTAAGATGGGAGAGGTCAGGAGTTGGGAGTCTGAAAATAGGTTTTATCTAGGAGACCTTGGAAAGGCTGAGTTGTTTTAAATTTTGGATACAGTAACTTTATAATCAATGGACACCAGAAATACCTCCCAGATTCTTTCTGGATCATAATGACAACTTATGTAGCCATCCGGGTCGGTCGTCTGCAATGTACCTCTCGAGGTTTCCATCCAACGCCCTTATTTTGCTGTAAGTATGCAGATCTGCGTTTTAGAGAATGCCCTCTGCTGGCTGCCAGGAGAATGGATTGGAGGGAGGGAGAGCACTGAGAAAGCGGCGAGGAAAGCTATAACTCAGAGTGGCGTGATGGGGATGGATATAGGAGGTTTCTTTATAATAAATTTTTTAAAGAAGTTTTAGACTTACAGAATTATTGCGAAGATAATACAGAGAGTTCCCATATACCCTACAGCCAGTTTCCCCTGGTGTTAGCATCTTTCATTGGTATGGTACACCTGTCACAATTAATACGTTATTGTGAACTAAAGTCCATACTTTATTCATATTATCTTAGTTTTTACCTAATGCCCTTTTCCAGGATACCCCATTACATTTAGTCATCACGTCTCCATAGGCTCCTCTTGGCTGTGACAGTTTCTCAAACTTTCCTTGTTTTTGATGACATGGAGTCATCAACATTTGAGGAGTAATGGTCAGATATTTTGTAGCACCCTGTCAAATTGGGATTTGTCTGATGTTTTTCTCATGATTAGACTGGGGTTATGGGTTTGAGGAAGGAAGACCACCGAAATAAAGTGCCATTCTCATCACATTATATCAAGGGGATATACTATCAATATGTTAACCTTGATCTCCTGTCTGAGGTAGTGTATGTCAGGTTTCTCCACTGTAAAATTACTCACCCCTCCCCTCCATAGTATACTCTTTGGAAGGAGTAGCCCATGCTTAGGGAGTGGAGAGTTACGCTCCATCTCCTTAAGGGCAAAATATCTGCATAAATTAATGAGAATTCTCCCACACTAGAAATGTGTCTATTCTATGAGAACTTTTAAGATGCTGGAATTGACAGGCTTTAGATATGGGGAAAAGGATTGAGATAAGTCAGGGATGGCTGCCAGGTTGCTGTGGAACCTTTGGCAAGGACCCTTCCCTCTCTGGGACTCTTCTGTGAAATGATTGGAATACTAGATCTTAGACATACTCCATGATTCTCATAAATGTTTTGGGGAGAGCGTGGAGGCTTGGATGCCTCTGTTTCTGACCTGGGACTATACTGTCAGAAGTGGGTAGAGGAGACTGGCCCAGAATAGGAACATCCTCCCTCAGGGCCAAAGATGAAAGTGCAGGATCCTGAGTCAAGGCATCTTGTGCAGAAGGAAGAGACAACTACGTGCAGTATCTGGAGCCAGTCCCAGTGAGCAGGTGATGAAGTAGAGGGGAGTAGAAAGCAGCAGGGGTAAAGGGCTGAGAGTGGGCCAGAAAGAGGTCAGCCTGGCAAGAGGATCCCAGCCAGTCTGAGAAACAGATGGCCTGGGTACCCTTGTCTCAATCTGCTCTTCCTTGCAACATGACTCCCTTGCCTTCTCTAGAGGGCCTCAGTTTTCCCATCTGCAAATGGCGGCTAATTGTGTTGGAAGATCAGCCCTGGAAAAGCAACCTGCCTAAGATCCCAAGATGGAGTCCAGCCTCGAAGTGTACCTCAGAAGCCTGGCCTTCATCATGCTCTTCCCTGATTCCTTTCTGTCTCCCTAATCAAATCCCCAGTCCCTCATCCTGGCACTTGAGGCTCCTCTTCACCCACCCTGTCAAAGAGGTCCTCTGGCTTCAGGGACACTGTTAGAAGCCAAGTATAGGATTCTAATATAGTTATCCAAGGTGCTCATGTCCTCGGCTAAGGCATGGGAGGAGAGAATGTTCTTTGCCTAGAGTGATATCTTGTTCCCTGTGCCCTCAATCCTCAGTGTATGGTCCTGCCCAGTCTGGGCCTCCCAAAGGAATGGGCTGTTCTAGGTCTTTAAAGTCACATCCAACTCCAAAATATAGTCTTTGCTGAAGACCAGAGAAGACGGCCCCATTTGCAGGGACCCTAAACAGAAACCAGGAAGAGGACCAGGAGGAGGAGGAGGAGGAGGAGGAGTCATGGACCCGATGTGGACCAGGGCCTGTTCCCATGCTGAAGCTAATTGTCTTTGTGTCCTTCACAGCTCACCCCACTCCTTTGCAGCAGAGGGCCTTGATCCTGGGGATGAGGTTCCCAGAATCTCCTGGAGCCAGACCTTTAAAATGCCACCCACTTCTATGACCCAAAGAAGATTGGCAGGGACAAAACTAGATTTAAGAATATCCCTCCTTCTTAGGTCACCAAAAAAGCTAGCACTAGCTCCCTCAGTTGGGGGGTGCAGAGGATAAGTTAGGGAGGAATCCTATCACTCATTCAGTAAACTTGTTGAACACCTACTGTATGATTGATATTACACTGGATGATAGAGATACAACAAAGAAACATGACGGGTCAAGTCTTTTGTCCTCCTGGAACCCAGAGTTTAAGACAAGTGTTCTTAACACTTTTTATGACACAGACCTTTTTAGTGATATGGTGAAGCTAATAGGCCTTTTCTCAGAAAACAATATCTTTTAAATACATAAAATAAAATATCATTGGTTACAAAATTAACTAATTATATTGAAATATAATTATTAAAATATGAAAAAAGCAAGTATGTGCTATAGTAATATATGTGCTCCTCATTAATTCATTAAATCATAAGATCCAGTGGAGGGTCTAATGACTATCATGATTTTAAAAGAGATGGGATTACATGATATTTCAAAAGATCTGCAACATCTTTAATGTGATATGAAAATCTCTGTGATTTCTGTTGGTGGCAGTGTCCCAGGTACTACTAATACTATGGTTACTTACTTTCTTTACTGAAAAAAAAAAAATGCTTAATTTCAACTGGTGGAGAGTGAAAAAAAGATATAATTATTTTTCCCATGCAAACTCATGGACCCCTCTAAATCCTATTCCCAAATTAAGAACCCCTGGTAATAGGAAGGTCCTTGCTTTCTCTCCTTCCTTCTTAAACAACTTTTGTTCTGAAGACAGAAGCCTGGGTTTTATTCTGGGTCTTATTGCTGTGTAACCTCAAGCCAATCAGTTTGCCTCTCTGGGCCATAGTTTCCTCAGTCTGAAAAATGAGAAAGGCAAGAATTGAGATGGGAGACCTTAACTATTAATATTCCAGGCAATTAATTTACGTTCTCTCATTTAATCGTCATAACGATAGTGTCAGGCAAGATTTTAAAATTGTCTTCCCATTTCACAGATAGTTAAACTGAGGCCCCTAGTGAGGTTATCACTTGACCAATGTCTTAGTCAATAAGTAGCAGGTGCTGTTGGGTGACTGGCCTGGTCCCCCTCGTCCTCCATGGATGAAATTAGGAACTACACTCAGTTTGAGCGAAATAAACCTGGCTCAGAAATCCCTGCAAGGAGGGTAGAGCTATGGGAAATTGGGGGCAGAGTCGTGTCTCTTAGCGGGGCGGTGGCTTACACAATGTAGCATACGGAGAGTATGACATCAAGAAGCCGGGATCTTTCATCGTTCACTAATTTCCGCCAAGCCCCACTTTGGGATTCGCGCCTGCGTATTCCCAGCTAACCTCTCTAAACCCTATGGAATAAACTGGCATAGGGAGTGACGACCCCACCTCTCTTGGCCAATCCTATTAAAGGGTGGGCTTGGCTCGTCAGCCAATCAAAGGCCCCTGAAGGGGCGGAGTTTTCTTCCGCCTGGATTCAGGCCTAGGGGCTTAAAATAAGACCTTTCTATCTCCAGCCAATCCCAGGGAAGGCAGGAGGGCACTCCTCCAATGGGAGCCCGGGAGCCTTACGTGGCGATGGAGCTTGCGACCCAACTCGCACTCCAGCGGGCGGGAGGGACGCGTCCAGGGTATTCGTGAGATCCAGCTGACATCCCCTGCAATCTGCTTGCGTGCGGCGTGAATGGCGGGAGGTGTCCGGTGAGACGCTGTAGAGACCAGGGTCGGGGGGCGCAGGGGAAAGAGGCCGGGCAGGAGCGCGTGAGGGGTGGGGTCTGAGCGAGCTCTTAACTGGGCAGCCTCTCAACCGTAGGTCAGCGGGTTGCAGAGGATCTTGCGGGTAGCAGAGGGAGAGCGAGTGCCCCTGCAGCCCCACGCTGCGACCAGGTGAGTACCCTGCGAAGACTACCTCCCATTCCCGCCCTCCGCGCCACCCCCTTCCCCTTAGTCTTTTGGAAAACGTTTCCGTGCAGGTCTCCAGCTCACGTGATCGTCTGCGTGCACGTCTGTAAGTCTTCATCTCTCTCTGCCCCGCCTTTCCGTCTCCCTATCTCCATCTTTCTGTCTGCCTCTTTCTGTTTCACTCCCTGAGACATATATACTAGACAACACAGACCCAGAAGGCTGAATCCTGATCCTACCAGTTAAAACTAGCCGTGAGACCTTGAGTCATCTACTTCACCCATCTCAGCCTGTTTCCTGATCTGTCAAATGGGGTCTCCACCTGAGACAATACATATGCATCGTTTTGCCCAGCGCTTGGCCCCTAGAAAGTATCAAATAAATGACAGTCGTGATTGAAAAGAATATTATCTCTCTCTCGGTCTTTGTCTTTGTTTTCTCCTGTCTGTCTCTGACCTTCCCCCATTGGTTCTACTTTCCGAATGCTTCTTTCTCTGTTACTGTTTTACCTCTTTCTACATGTCTCTTTCCCATCCCTAAATAGGTGAGAGATGTATTGTTTATAGCAATGCTTGGCCTGAGAGCACCTATGAGCTTAGCCTTGGGCTCTGAACTTTCTGTGGGTAAAAAATGGAGCCTGGACTTGGGCTGCTTCTGGCCTTACTGAGGAAAGAACCCTCTTTATTCCCCAGCCTACTGTGTTAAACTTTTAAAGATCCCCAGGGTGGAGAGCAACTTAGATGAAAAAGTGGATCAGGCCCTTTATATTATACCATGTTAGTCACCACATGAAGACCGAGGGTCTCCAAGTTACATCCCCATACAGCCCTTCTGAAATCCTTTGACCAGGCCTTCTGGAACTCACCTTCAGTCCCCTCCATTCTCACCCTGGCTTCTGAATAGTCTCTTTGTTTTCTTGCCATGCCTTAATGGTTCTCATACCTATTGGACCCAATGCTCCATCTTTCTAATGTATATTTTGAAACGCCCCTTTCACTATTCTGAAATGAAGTGCATAGATAATAGAATCTCTCTACACACATAATTCCCCCCAAACCAATACAATGTCCTAATTGTAATATAAGGGACAGATAAAGGAAGAGTAATTTATAATAAAACAATATGCATTTTAATATGTAAAGGCTGGGATATAATTCCACTAGAAGACATAATGAAATGGTCTGATACTCGAACCTGAGACTATGACAGCTACACATGTGTTGATTGGTGACCCAGAAACCACGGGTAAGGTGATGCAGTTTTCTTAGAAAATGAACAATTCTTCATAAAGTTCTAAACAAAACAAAGTGCAGTCTTCCTGAAGTTATGTAGTTATTGAATTTTTAGAAAAATCACTGTTTATTAAAATCTATGTTCTGGCCCCCATAACCTCTCTCACCTTATCTCCTACCACTCTCCCACTTGCTGCTTCTATGTCACCCATCCTGGCCTCCTTTATGCTACTTTAATATACTAGGCACCCTTCTACCTCAGGGGTTTGTACTGGGCCATCCCCTGTACCTGGAATGCTTTTCTCCCACAAGGCTCATGCCTTTACTTCCTTCAGGGCTGTACTCAGATGTCACTTTCTCAATGAGGCCTACCTAGACAGACCGTCCTGTTTAAAATTGCAGCTCTCCCCAGCATATACCCTGCTCTTTTTTTTCCATAGTGCTTATCACTCTCACATAATATGTAATTCACATCTTTATTATGTTTGTTGTCTGACTCTTCCACTCGATTGTAAGCTCTAGAAGGGTAGTTGTTTTCGTCTTTTTTGTGCTCTGATGCATCTCTATTACCTAAAACAGTGCTTGCCACATTGTAGGCTCAGTAAATGTTTGTTGAATGAATGAATGAATGAATGAACAGATTTTTCACCTACATGATTGTCTGGTGGGACATTCTAAAATTCTATCAGATGTGTGGTGCTGTCTTGCTGCGTGGAGCTGTCTTGTGCAGCTAAACATCCCTGGTCCATGCTCTCTAAATGTCACCAGTGAGCTCCAATTATTGTAACAATCAAAAATGCCCCCAGGCACCTCTTGTCTGTCCAACCTGCTATTGAGAACCACTGCTTGAATAGAAACCTTGCTTTCCTCTGAGCATTCTGCTCCCCCAGCAGCCCCATCATACCCCTCTTACCAGGAGGCCAGGAGATGAGGGTAGTTGTCCTCACTCTAATTGCCCTTCCCAGACGTCTTCTCTCCCTCCCTAAACAACCTTTATTAGAATTATTTTTATTTTAAAATAATTTTATTTTAAAAAATTGTAAAAATAGTACAAAGAATTCCCATATATAATTCACTCAGATTCCCCAAATGTTAAGAAATTATACAACTATGGTGCAGTTATCAAAATTAGGAAATTAACATAGGCACAGTACTATTAACAAAAATACAGAACTTATTCAGATTTCATCAGTTTTTTCACTAATATGTTTCTCTTCTAGGATTGACTTCAGGATCCCACATTGCATTTGGTTGCCATGTCTCCTTAGGCTCTTTCAATCTGGGACAGTTCCTGGAAGAAAACATAGGAATAAAGTTTTTTTTGTCTTTCATGGCTTTGATACTTTTGAAGAGCCCCAGGCCGTTATTTTATAGAATGTGAGTTTGTCTGATGTTTCTTGTGATTATAGTAAAGTTATGGAATTGGGGCAGGAATACCACAGAAGAGACATATCTTCAGTGCTTTGTATCAGGAGGCTCGTAATGTCATTTTGTCCCAGTACTGGTTTTATTCACTGACTATTTGTTTAAGGTGGTGTCTACCAGGTTTCTCCACTACAGTTACTCTTTTTTCCTTTATAATCAATTAGTAATTTGTGGAGTGATTCTTTAAGATTATGTAAATATCAAACATCTTGTTTTAAATCTCAGATCATCAAACTATACTATCACCCACCCATCCGTGTTAGAGTCAGGTACAAACATACACACATACCTGCCCCTGTCACACCTCATTCCTAGAAGAATTTAGCTACTAGTCACTCTCTATAACACTGCCCCAGTCCTACTTCTTAGTGATTTTAATACCCTCATAGATGACCCTTGCGGTGTTCTTGTCTCTCATTTCTGTGATCTGCTCTCCTACAATACCTTTCAAACCCACCTCAGCCACCTACTCTGATAGTGGTACCCTTCTTATCAGTACCTGTAATATCATTGCCTCCATGATCTCAGTTTCAGGCGTCCTGCTATCCATCCAGTACCTCTAATCTTTCTTTCCCTCTAGCTCCCCAACTCCAGCAAACCTTCAGCATTTTTCACTACTCTTTACTTACTCCATGTTCCCGTGTCCTTCCTTTAATCAGCTTAGATTCCGTGGTCCATCACTATAGTCCTTCCCTTGCATACATCCTCACTTGCCTTGGCCTCTGTCACTTCAGCACACTTACCAGGTAAACCCCGGGCCCTGGTTAAATCTTTTGTTGCACCTTTATTGAGATATATTTCACATACCATAAAATTCATCCTTTAAAGGGTTTTTGGTATCTTAACAGAATTGTGCAACCATTACCACAATCAATTTTAGAACATTTGTATCCCACCCAAAAGAAGCCTCATACTCATTAGCAGTTACTCCCCATAACTCCCCTCCCCCAAGTCCTAGGCAACCACTAATCTGCTTTCTATCTCTACTGATTTGTCTAGCCTAGACAATTCAGGTAATTGGGATCATACAACATGTTGGTCTCTACGAGTAGCTTTTTTCACTTAGCATAATGTTGAGGTTCATCCATGTTGTTGCATGTAGCACTCCCTTTTATTGCCAGATAATCTGTTGTATGTGTATACCACATTTTATTTATCCATTTGTCGGCTGATGGACATTTCAGTTCTTTTCATGTTTAACTATATAAATAATGTTGCTCTGAACATTTGTGTACAAGTTTTTGTGTGGATGTATATATGTTTTCTTTTCTCCTAGGTAGATACCTAGGAGTGAGATTGCTTGGTCATATGGTGACTCTATGTTTAACTTTTTGAGGAACTACCAAACTATTTGCAAAAGTGGCCTCACCATTTTACATTTCCCATCAGCAATGTATGAGGGTTCCAGTTCCTTCATACCTTCACCAACACTTTTTGCTGTTTGTCTTTTTGATTATAGCTATCCTATTGAGTATAAAGTGGTATCTCATTGTAGTTTTTATTCGCATTTCTCTAATAACTAATGATGTTGAACATCTTTTCATGGAGAAATGTCTATTCAAATCCTTAGCCCTTTTAAAATAAAATTATTCATTCTCTTATTGAAATTATTCATTCTTTATATATTTTGGATACAAGTCTCTAATCAGATATATAATTTACAAATCTTTTCTCCTATTCCGTGGGTTGTCTTTTCACTTTTTTGGTGGTGGTCTTTGATTCACAAAAGTTTTTAAATTTGATGATGTCAAATTTATCAATTTTTTCTTCTGTTACTTGAGTTTTTCATGTCATATCCAAGAAACCATTATGTAACCCAAGGTCACAAAACTTTATTCCTATGTTTTCTTCCAGGAATTGTATGGTTTTAGTTCTTACATTTAGGCTGATTATCCATTTTCAATTAATTTTTGTATGTGGCATGAGGTAGGGGGGTCCAAATTTCATTCTTCTGCATGTGAGTATCTAGTTGTCCTAGCACCTTTTCTTAAAGAGAGTATTCTTTCCCCTATTGAATTGTCTTGGCAACCTTGTAAAAAATCAATTGATCGTAATTCATAAATGTAAAGGTTAAGTTCTACACTCTTAATTCTATTTCATTGATTTATTTGTCTGTCAATATGCCATACTACACTGTCTTGATTATTGTAGCTGTGTAATAACTTTAGAAATCAAGAAATGGGTGTCTTCTTTATTCTTTTCCAAGATTGTTTTGGCTTTTCTGAGTCCTTTGCATTTCCATATGAATTTTAGGATCAGCTTGTCAGTTTCTGCTGATCCAGAATATCAGCTGGAATTTTTATAGGGATTGTGTTGAATCTATATATCAATTTGGGAATTATTGCCATTTAACAATATTAAGTCTTCCTATCCATGAACATGACAAGTCTTTCCATTTAGATCATCTTTAATTTCTTTCATAAGTGTTTTGTAGTTTTCAGTGTACAAGTCTTGCACTTCTTTTGTTAAATTTATTCCTAGGTATTTTATTCTTTTTGCTGCTATTATAAATGTGATTATTTTTCTTAACTTCTCTTGCTGATTGTTCATTTTTAATGTGTAAAAGTACAATTGATTTTTGTGTATTGATCTCCTATCCTTCCACATTATCGAACTTGTTTATTAATTCAAATAGCTTTTTAGTGGATTCTTTAGGATTTTCTGTATACTAGATCATATCATCTGTATATAGAGATCGTTTTACTTTTCCTTTCCAATCTGGATGCTTTTTTTTTTTTCCTTTGACTAATTGCCCTGGCTAGACCTTCCAGTACAATCCTGACTGGAAGTAATAACAACAGACATCCTTGTCTTGTTCCTGATCTTAGGGGGAAATTATTGAGTCTTTTTTCATTAAGTGTAATGTTAGCTGCGGGTTCTACATAGATACGTTTTATCAAGTTGAGGAAGTTTCCTTCTACTCCTAGTTCTCTGAGTGTTTTGCCATGAATGGATGTTGAATTTTGTCAAATGCTTTTTCTGCATCTATTGAGATGATCATGTGGAGTTTATGCTTTATTCTATTAATGTGGTATATTACATTGATTAATTTTCAGGTGATAACGTCGCATTCCTGAGATAAATCCTAATTAATCATGTTATATAATACTTCTTATATGTTGCTGGACTTGATTTGCTAGTATTTTGTTGAGGATTTTTACATCTATATTCATAAGGGGTATTGGTCTGTATTTATTCTTGTGATGACTTTGTCTGGTTTAGGTATTAGGGTAATAATGGCTGTATAGAATTGGGAAGTGTTTTTTCCTCTATTTTTTGGAAGAATTTATGAAGGATTGATATTTGCCTTGTGTATGTCTTACGTCTTTTCTATTCCTTTGTTCTTTAATTCCTCTTTTTTGTGTGTTAAGTAGATATTTTCTACTATAAACTTTTAATTTCCTTATTAACTATATATATTTTTGAGTTAAGTTCTTAGTGACTGCCCTGGGAATAACAGTTAACACCTTAACTTGATATAATCTACTTTGGATTAATTCTACCTTTCAATGTTATATAAAAACTTTGCTCCAGTATACCTCTGTTCCCTCTCCCCTCCTTCGTAGTAGTATTATCATACAAGTTACTTCTTTATACATTATAAACCCACAGTTTTATTATTATTGCTTTATGCAATTGTCTTTTACAACAGATAGGAAAATAAAAGTGTTACAGACAAAAATACGTTCTTTCATAATAGCTACATAGTTTACCTTCAAGTTACTATATAGTGCCCTTTAATTTCAGTCTGAAATTAGTGTTTCTTGTAGGATCAGTCTGCTAGCAACAAAATCTTTCAGTTTTTCTTTATCTTCTCTTTCATGTTTGAAGAAAGTTTAGCTAGATATGGAATTATCCATTGACGGTCTTGTTCTTTCAACATTTTGAAGATGTTATCACATTGTCTTCTAGCCTCTATGGTTTCTGATGAGAAACAACTGTTAATGTTATTGAGGATCTCTTACATGCATAATTCATTTTTCTCTTGCTGCATTCTAGATTTTCATTTTGTCTTTGACTTTTGTCAGTTTCACTGTGTATCTAGATGTGAATCTCTTTGAGTTTATTCTACTTGAGCTTCTTGAATGTATAGATTAATATTTTTTTATTAAATTTGCGATGTTTTGACCCCTTTCTCTTCCTCTTGTCCTTCTGAGACTTCTGTTATGCATATGTTGGTAAACTTGATGGAGTCCCACAAGTCTGTGAGGCTCTGTTTCTTTTTCTTCATTCTTTTTACTTTTTGCTTTACAGAATGGATAATCTCTATTGACCTATCATCAGTTTTATCCTTTCTCTCCTCTGCCAGCTCAGATCTGTTGTTGAGCCCCTCTAAGTGTATTTTTCATTTTGGTTGTTATCCTTTTCAACACCACATTTTCTATTTGATTCTTTTTTCATGATTTCTGTCTCTTTATTGATCTTCTCTATCTGCGAGATATTTTCTCACACTTTCCTTTAATTCTTTAGTATGGTTTGTTTTCGTTCTTTGAAAATATTTATAATAGCTAATTTAAAGTCTTTGTCCGTTAAGTCCCAAACATTGGCCACCTCAGGGACATGTTCTTTTGGCTGCTTTTTTCTCCTTTATATGTAACATAATTTACTGTTTCTTTGCATGTCTCATAACTTTTTTGTCAAAAACTGGGCATTTTAGATACTCTAACAATTCCAGTATCAGACTCTTCCACCCTCAAGGTTTGTTGTTCTGGGTTGTGTGTGTGTGTATGTAGGTGTTGTTATTGTTATTTTTCTTGTTGCTGTTTGTTTAGCAACTTTTCTCAACTAGTTCTTTGAATTCTATATTCCCTGTACTATATGGCCCCTGAGTTCTCTGCTAGCTTTTTTTTTTTTTGTAAAGTTCTTGTTTTTATTTTTAAGTCTAGATTCCTAGGGGGTCACACCTGGTAACTATAATTTGGCGGTCAGCCAGTGATCAGTCAAATATATTTCCTTAAAGACCTTGTCTTACATGTCTTCCACCCTTTGCCAAGATCTGTGTGAGAAGGCATGCCTTCACACTTCAGCCCGTTTACAAGGCAGCCTTAGCTTTCACTTTTGCTTGCATAGGGCCTCACAATCAGCCACATGTGAGTGACTTGGGCCCTCTCCTTTTTCATTTCTTTCTTGGGTATGCACATAGCCATATATGCACAGCCCTTTAGATCCCTAGGAATATGTCAGAGCTTTTCAAAGTTCCTATAGTTGTCTCATTCTCCAGGATTTCCTTTTAAATTCCCAACCAAAGCAGTCAGATCTCTCTGTTGTCTGGAATTTAGTCAGCTTTTGGCTACTGAGCCACTGAGTTAAAGAGGGAAAGGGGATAGGAATAGCTACTAATTAAAATGCCACAAAATCTACTGTCTTACCAAAATTCAGTATTTTCACTTGGATAGATGATTTTCATTTCTTCTAAGCCTTTGGTTAATTGCGAGTTTTGAGATGATTGACTTTGGTTGGTTTGCCCATATTTTCATTGTTTTAGTGGGATAAAGAGTTCACCAAAGTCCTCACTCTGCCATTCCATTGATCTCCTATTGCTCTCATCTTTAAAAAAATATAAAACTTTCTTCATCCCATATCCCCTTGCAACTATGGCTTAATTTCTCTATTCCCCTGACAGCAAAGCTTTCCAAAAGAGTTGTCATTCTTTACTTCTTCCTAATCTTCTCTTATTCTCTGTTTGTTCATATAAAATATATTAGATATATAATAAAATAATATATACATTACATACAATAGTTATAAAGATAATAATATAATGAAAAAAGCAAACAAACAAGAAATCACAGCCTTAACCAAGAACAACAGTAATAGCATCTATCCCTGTGTCATTTTCTTTCCCATTCTCCACACCGCCTGCCAGAAATTACCACTATTCTAAGTCTTATGTTTAACATTCCCTTGCTGTTTTGATATATATTTTTTCCATATTTGTAGGGATGCTTAACCAATTATTGTTCATTTGGCTTGATTGTGAGCTTAGTAGAAAATGGTATCATACTATGTGTGGTCTTCTGTGACTTACTTTTTTTTCACTTATTATTGTGTGTCCAAAATTTACCTATGTTTTACATGTAGCTATAGCTTGCTCATTCTCCGTGCTGTATAATATTTCATTGGGTGATGGTAAAACAAATTATTCATCCATTTATCTTTTGATGGACATTTGGGTCAT